ATTGGATTCCTTTCTCCTGAATCACAGTCTGGAGTACACAGTGGCTGCTCTTTCTTCTTGGATAGAATTCACACTTGAAAATATCTTTTGGCCAGGTTAGTGTGCCCTACTTTTCCTGCTGGAGGGGAGAAGGATGGCTTCCCTGTGGGCCAAGGACAGTGACATTGGTTCACCTTTTAGATCTAATCTCCCCTGAGCGATTCTCCCCAGCCCTCTGTCCTCACTAAGCTATTTATAAGGACAAGCTGTACTTGAGAAATGGGCTTCTGGATTTCAAATTGAGGCTGTGTTGACCTTTTGCTTTAAACCCTGCATAATGTAGTTCAACATCTAAAATGACATCCCCACCTTGATGATTTAATCCTAACTTTGCAGTCAGGTGAAATTTGGATCTGTTCATTGTCTGTGGCTCAAGAAATTTCRCATGGAGATTTGTTAGCAAAACCTCCACATCCAAAGCCTCCTCGGAATCTGAAATCCCATAGCTGATGGAGGAAAGTGTATACGGCTCTCGGAGTCAGGCTGCGGACTGGACCCTTCTCTGCTTCTCCCAGCTGTACTTGTCCCCAAGAGAGGACAAGAGCAAGTGGCCAGGGGGTGAGAGCCCCCATAACTTCTTAACTAGGAGGGGAGAACTGCCTCACAGTTGGTTTGTTGGCCCTTGAAACAGATGAATAGTAGTTTAGGGGAGCGTGTTTTCTTATCACTCACTCACTTTTTCATTCATTCATTTTTTGTAGTACTGTGGATTGAACCCAGGGGTGTGCTATTATTGAGCTACATTTACAGCCCCTTTAAAAAATTTTTCTTTTTTATATATATTGAGATATGGTTTTGTGAGTTAATGAGGCTGGCCTTGAACTTGTGATCCTACTGCCTCAGCCTCTCAAGTAGCTGGACTATAGATGTGTGCCACCATGCCTGGCCTCATTCACTCCTGCCCCCCCCCCGCCCCAATAATTCTCCTTTTATTTTGTTTGCTTTTCGTGCTCTAGGGATTAAACCCAGGGCCTCAGAAATGCTAGGCAAGTGCTTTGCCACTGAGCTGTTTCCCTAGACCTTCATTCACTATTTTTTTTTTTAACATTTTTGTAGTTGTAGATGGACACAATATCTTTATTTTATTTATTTGTTTTTTTATGTGGTGCTGAGGATTGAACCCAGTGCCTCACACGTGCTAGACGAGTGCTCCACCACCAAGCCACAACCTCAGCCCCTCACTTGCTGTTAATGTGATGACAAGTGCTAGTTGCCCAAGGTGTGTTTTCCAGTGGTCTGTCCTTGGGGAAATTGGTGAATTTAATCAGTGAAGAGACAGCTCAGTGGCCCACTGTCCTCACTCCCTGTTTGTACCCCATGCCTCTCTGTAGAACTGAAGCAGATCACCTGGCTCAGCACCATGGGGCTGCTGATGGTGGTCTTTGGAGAGTGCCTGAGGAAGGCTGCCATGTTCACAGCTGGCTCCAACTTCAACCACGTGGTGCAGAATGAAAAGTCAGACACCCACACTCTGGTGACAAGCGGAGTATACGCATGGTTCCGGCACCCTTCCTACGTGGGGTGGTTTTACTGGAGTATTGGGACTCAGGTAGGTATGATATCAGATATGAGACTGACTTCCTTTAATTTWYTTTTTTTTTTTTTTTTTTTTTTTCATTTTGGTACTGGGAATTGAACCAAGAGTACTTTATGGCTGAATTACGTCTCTAGCCCATTTTTGTTTGTGAATTTTTTTTTTGTTTGTGTATTTTTGAGACAGGATCTCACTAAGTTTCTTGGGCCTTGCTAAGTTGCTGAGGCTGGCTTTGTAGTCCTCCTGCCTTGGCCTCCCAAGTTGCTGGAATTACAGGTGTGGGCCAGCATACTCCGCCTTTAATTACTTTTTTACATTTTAAATATTAAAATATGATTTATATACTATAAAGTTCATCATTCAAAAGCATATAATTCACTCTCTTTAGTGTATTTGTAAGGTGGTTTGTCTCCTTTAACATGTGCTCCCTGGCTTATTATAAGTAATAACTAAATAAAAATCAAGAGAACTATAGTCCTTAGGGGTCTTTTTTTTAATATTTATTTATTTATTTTAGTTATCGGCAGACACAACATCTTTGTTTGTATGTGGTGCTGAGGATCGAACCGGGGCCGCACGCATGCCAGGCGAGCGTGCTACCGCTTGAGCCACATCCCCAGCCCCATCCTTAGGGGTCTTAATCATGTACTAAAATTTGAGCATTATAAACCTTTCCTGACTCTTGATCCACCATCACCACCACCATAGCCTCTCTCTCTAACCTAGATCTGGAGTGTGCCAGAGGTGAGGAGAAGTGGGTTTTGTGGAGGGAGTGAGTGCACTTGGCCATTCGTGGCAGCTCAGTGGGTTTCACCAGAAGTGGGTCTTAATGAGGCCAAGGTCCTGTGTTAGGCTAATGAGAGCCAGGGAGGATTAGTCCATCTCAGGCTTTCTCTTTTTTTTTTTTTTTTAATATTTTTTATTTATTAATTTTTTTTAGTTTTCGGTGGACACAACATCTTTGTTTGGTATGTGGTGCTGGGGATCGAACCCGGGCCGCACGCATGCCAGGCGAGCGCGCTACCGCTTGAGCCACATCCCCAGCCCCTCAGGCTTTCTCTTGATCTGCACTTTTGGTTCTAGAAATGAAGATGAAGACAATAGTGTTTGGAATATCACTCTGTCTGGGGAAGTGCAGTCAGGGCCCCCAGGAATCTCTTTGGCAACCATACAGGTGATTCCCAGGGTATAGTAGGGGCAGGTAGCCTTGTAGCATTTCTTTTAAAAATTTGTATTTCTGGCCAGGTGTGGGATGATGTCCATCACCCTGGCCTGAGTATCAAAATCCAAGAGGTTGATCTTTCTTTGTAACTTTTAGATTTCTCACCTAAGAGGAGTTACAGAAAAGTGTGTGCAGAATGCTGCAGTGAAGAGTGTCAGGTTTATTTTGTGTGTTTGTGTGTGGTGTGGGGATTGAACTCGGGGCACTCTACAACTGAAGTACATTCTCAGCCCTTTTTATTTTATTTTGAAATAGTCCTTGCTAAGTTGTCCAGGCTGGACTCAAACTTGCAATCCTCCTTCCTCGGCCTCCTGAGTAGTTGAGATGACAGACCTGTGTCACCATGTTCACCTGATGAGTGTCAGTTCTAATGTGAAAGTAGTTTAATTTCTGTTAATGATACCCTGGCTCCCTGAGACCCTAACATTATTATTTAAAGAGTCTCTGGGATGAGAGTGGAAAGTTTGGAAGCTGGAACCTTTAACATGTGCTCCCTGGCTTATTATAAGTAATAACTAAATCAGTTCAATAGGTAATAGGTAATGTCACTACTGCAAAAGGGTTCATTTCTTTACCTTTGTTCTGTAACAACAGAGTTTTGTTAGCAGGGAGTTACTTAACAAGCCTAGCCAGGAGGTGGCTCCTGTAATTCCAGCTACTCAGGAGGCTCACACAGGAGGATYACAAACTTGAAGCCAACCTGGGAAGTTTAGATCCTTTCTCAAAAAATAATAATGGTGGACAGGTGCAGTGGTGCACGCCTGTAGTCTCAGCTGAGATTTGGGAGGCCAAGGCAGGAGGATCACGAGTTCAAAGTCAGCCTCAGTAAAAGCAAGGTGCTAAGCAACTCAGTGACACCCTGTCTCTAAATAAAATACAAAATAGGGCTGGGCTGGGAATGTGGCTCAGTGGTTGAGTGCCCCTGAGTTCAATCCCCGGTACCCACACCCCCCAAAATAATAAGACTTGGGATAGAGCTAAGTGGTACAACACTTGCCTAGCACTTGCCAGGCCCTGGGTTCAGTCCTCAGAGAAATTCTTAGGGTATTGTCTGGGGTGTAGAACCTCTCTAACCCTGGTCACATCGGTGTTTCCTCTGCCAGGTGATGCTGTGTAACCCCATCTGCGGTGTCGTTTATGCCCTGACAGTATGGCGATTCTTCCGTGACCGGACAGAGGAAGAAGAAATATCACTGATTCACTTCTTTGGAGAGGAGTACCTGGAGTATAAAAAGAGGGTGCCCACAGGTCTGCCTTTCATAAAGGGAGTCAAGGTGGAGCTATGATGGGCGGGGGCCTCGAGGGACCACGGGCCACTGGCCCCATGTAGCCCAGGACAAAACTGCTTTCATTGGCCCCTGAGGAATGAATTTTCTTAATTATTTTGTATGTCACTAATTACTGTTCTGGATGTCACCCCAAGACCAAATGGTCAGAAGGCCTTAGGACCAAAGGACCCCCTGGAGCAATCCGTTCTTTTGCTGAATCAAGGCAGGACATAGATTAATAATGAACAAGAAACAAACTACAGCAATATTCATCCGTGCCCCTTCTCAAGTGCCCTGGTGAGAATCCAGGCCACAGTCCAGTGCCCTGAGGCCAGAGTGTATTTGCTATTTGCGTTGTCCCAGGTCTCCCCAGGAGAGGCGGATGCTGCTGCTGCAGAGCTTCTGCTGCAGAAACAGTGGTGGGTGTGTCGCTGCTTATCAGCATTAAAAAATGTGTTGAAAACCTTTAATTTAACACAAACAACAGCACAGCTTTAACCTCTTTATTCTGTCCTTATGCATGAACATCTATATAATTCTAATGATACTTCCTTATATGACACTTTGGCTCTTCATACATTTAATCGTATTTACACAGCTATTTTTTATAAATAGCAGCATAAATTCAAAGGAGCTTACTTGGTATTTCTAGTTCTAGCTTTGATCTGGCAGCAAGTAGGCACAGCCCTCTCTGATTTGGCTGTGTAGCACTGTGTGACCTTGGGCACCCCAGGCCAAGGGACTGTGGGCCCTTGGGCTTTCCTGGAGTTTTGGTTCCTGCTCTCCTGCTATTGTGACAGGCAAGTCAAAGATGTG